GTGCACAGCCCATTTAAAATTATTCAAGCATATCAGCTTAGCTTTGCCAAGCTTTACTTTCTTTTTTAAATGCAAGCTCTCTCTGATTTCCAGTTACATAAAAATCAGGGCATTTTTTAAAAAACTGATGGCAAAAGCCATCCTGCTATCATCCTCACTTTCTTGTTTCTAAATGCTAGGTGAAGATTTTGAAAATTCCGAGTATTTATCATACACTATTTTAGTTATCTTTGTAAGGACTATGTATGGCAGGGGAGGGGCTATGGCTCACTAACAGAGTATCTGATTTGCATACAGAAGTTCCCCGGCTTCAATTTATAGCATCTTTGGTTTTAAAAAGACCAGGTATTATTGACCTCTAAGACCCTGGAGAGCTGCTACCAGAATGAGTAGACAAAACTGACCTCAATGGACTAATCGTGGGATTCAGTATAAAGCAGCTTCATGTGTTCACGGTAGGTCAATATTATATTGCTGCACACGAAGAACTAAAGCTAAAAGAACCAGAATGCATTTTGTATGTGCACAGATGGAAAGATACCTCAAACCAGGGAGCTGCTGACTCTCAATCTCTATGCCACACCACTCCTTAAGAAATGTGACCCTTCTGTATATGTGTATTATTGTATACATTTGAGATGCACTTTATGACCAGAGCCAAGGGGTTAAAACAGAGTGATTTCTCCCACTTTAGAAAATACAGCCCAGTTATACTTTATTTTTGTTTTGATACCTCCATTCCATGGAGCTTCCTTAAATGATAAATTCTTCCTTCCAAGCTATTTTTACAACCATAAACCAATCTATTATGCCCAAACTAACATCTGTGAAAAAGATATGCTGTTAATGATCTAACCAGGCCTTTGTGTTTGATATAAATTTTGTACAAGCTGCTATTTTGTGACTGGTAGTTTCCAAGCTCTTGAACTCCTGAAATGTTAAGGGGCCATATAAAGACTAATATAAATTTGTAATCAGATTATATACTTTTGAGCTGTATCATGAGTTCAACGGCACTGGAGGCATGCTGCCGGGCCATATTGTTTGTCAGACAACTCCTGTGATTGTAGACAGTGCCTTTGGGTCATATTTCAACTGCAATTCAAAGAAAGGAAAAAAATTATATGGTTCTGGCAGCTGTTCCAGTATGTATTTATCCCCCTTCGAAGCCTACAAAAACCATAAAAGGGGCTGCCCTGTCCTCATTAGGCATGGGGAAAGGGAGTAAATTATATTTCTCAACTCCAAAACCCTCCAAAACAAATGAGCAGCTGCTATTAAAACATTAGCAGCTTCAACATGTACATAAGAGGCCGATACCACCTGACCAACTCAGACTTGGACCACAGTTTCATGGTTGTGGTTATCAGCATTTTCTGTTCTAGTGTGTGCGCCAGAACACAGGCTTTATAACAGGCTGCTGAACTTTAAAATCTTCCTTCGGTTCAAGGAATCTTGTGTTTATGTTGGACAGCCTGACTGGACTCAGTGTGAGCTCTGAAGGCTTTTATAGGCCTTCGGAGCCCACTTCCAGGTGGATCCTGCCCACATAAGGGGGTATAAAGCCTATAAACGCCTTCAGAGCGCACTCTGGGAGCTCAGTTGAGTCGGGCCACCTGACCCGGAGGTGAGCTCCAAGAGTGAGCTCAGTCAGGCCAGCCCAACTCAGAGGTGGACGCCTAAGGCATTTAAGGCAGGGGTGTCAAACGTGCGGCCCCCGGGCCAGATCACACCCATACAGAGCCCACGCAGACCTGCAATCCAGCCAGAGAACAGCTGACTCTGTGGTGCTTCCCGCTTCCTATATCTATCATCACAATTCCTTCTGGCAAGTCTCTCCTAGTACCTGCTTCATAGGAGAGAAAGAAAGGCTTTCCAGGATTGGCTGAGGGCTCTTCCCCCCTCCCAGGGAGGGAAAGAACCACAGAGAGGGGATAAAATGGCGTCTCATGGGACTTCTAAGAAGGCCAGCAATGTTTTATTCCAGGTAGAAGCACACTTTTTCTTCAGAGGGAGGGAGGGAGCCAGAGGGAGCACCCTAGAAAAAGAGAGTCCTTTGTTTAAGACCCCAAAATGCTTTTATTCCAGGTATAGGGGGGGGGGAGTCCCAAAAAACATAAATTAGAACATTTTCTAGAAAGTGTTATGATGCCCTAAGGAGAATGCAATCTAAACTAGTATGTTCATTTTTACTTCTATGGGGGGGGGGTTTAAGCACCCCACATTAATTTTATATCCCCAAAACAACAAATGCTGGAAGTGAAGTATCTCACTATTGGGAAAAGTCTAGCATGGCTTAAATGCTACCTTCAAACAAATTCAAAGCTTTATATTGTAATCGTTTTACTGGAACAGCAATTTTTTACAAGAAAATTCAGTAGGTATTTCTTACACTGTTTACATTTAAGAAAAAAGCTAAAGGCAATAAAAACTGTTGACACATTAATTTTAGAACATCTGAAGAACTGATGATATGCCATGGATCTGGTTATCCACTAGGGCTGCCAACCTCCAGTTGGGTAAAACACAAATAAATCACACCGTGCCAACTTACATCACAGATGCTCTAATGACCATGAAATGTAGCTTAAATGAACTTAACAATACTTATACATCTTATACATAACCCTCCTGGGTGTATCCCAAACTATTTCAAATGCATAAATACAAGTTAAGAAGAACTTGTTTAGCTTTTTTGTCCGAAGGCGCATCTCATAGCTTGACTTCAGGTATCGCTGTAAGTTCTTCTCAAATTGCAGCTGGCTGACGCATTTCAAAAAAATTTCAAAGCCAGTATGAAGAAAAGCAGCATCTCTCTCTCTAAAGAAGGGGTGTCAAACTCACTGAAAATGTGTTATTTAAAGTTTAAAAAATCTTTAATTGTGTTTCTCCGTGTCCTTTATAAAGTCTATATCTCTGCTACCTGGCATTACCTTTTATGACACACATGGCCTGGCCCAACAAGGTCTCATTTATGTCAGATCCAGCCCTCATAACAAATGAGTTCGACACCCCTGCAGAGTCACCCGCCTTTCACGGCAACAGCCTGTAGACAGTGGGTTCCGACTTCTGGTCCAAGACAGGTTTTACACAACCCTTCCCGTGCACTCTTTTGGTTTAACCTAACCTCCAGTTGGGGCCTGGAGGTCTTCTGGAACCTCAACTGACCTCCAGAATATAGAGACCAGTTCCCCTGGAGGAAAAGGCAGCTTTGGCAGGTGATTCTATAGAATCGCATCACTGCTGAGCTACCTCCTCTCCCTTAATTACATCATTTTCTCAGGCACTTCTGCCAAATCTCCAGCAATTTCTCATGCTGGAATTCCCAACTCTATTTTCCAACCATCTATCTCAACAAAATTTCACTTTTACAAAGAGGTCACTGGAGCACATCAGTTTCACTGTCATACTCCGCAACACCACTTGAATTACCTGTAGCTCCACATCAGTTTAGTGATTACAATATCCCTTGCATCATATGAAAGGAGACCTAAATAAGAATTTTAATTCTGATTTGATTCTATAGTCAATCTGGAATATTCATAACTTGACTTTTAAAATTCAGTTTATTTTATTTATTTGTGGCATTACCATCGCCACCCCCATTTACTAATCAATAAAGGCACTCTGACACATAACTTGCAGGACTGTTGAGAGGGAGGGCTGGGGGAACAAAAATTCAGGGAGCCCAAGTTTGATCTGATGGGATCAGGCCTGGGCTATCCAGGTTCCCAAAGGTGAATAGGGACAAAGGATTCTTATTTCACTACAGATGCCTGTTTTTGGCCCCTAAGCATTTCTGCCCTCCTCTAAGCTGATTACATTTTGCACTATCTCTGTGCCCCGACTCCTTTCTTTGCAACTCCCCCTCCCACCTTCAGACTGGGATATAAGGACTCAGGGATCTCTACTCCTGCTTATATCTGACAAAGGGAACTTTGACTCTAGGAAGCTCATACCTCAAAAAATCTTGTTGGTCTCTAAAGTGCTACTGGGCTCAAGTCTTAGCTGCTCTATTGGAGACCAGCATGGCTATCCTCTGAAACTAGTTGCCTAGAAACTCCAAAGTGGCTGCTGAGACTATAGCCTTGCAAGGTTTTGATGGTCCTTTTCTGCAGTTTTGATGGTCCTTTTCTGCACTACAGAACAGAGAGAAGGTCATTGCTGAGGAGAGCAGAGGGAAAGCTGCCAATCATATCGAATTCTGGCCTAAAAATACAGAACAAAAAAACCCCCAATTGAACAGAATCATGAACAGAGAAAGAGGGCTCTTTCACAAACATGTGGGAACACTAAGGTTTACAAAAAAAAAACTGGAAAAAGAAGGAAAAGTTAAGTGGATTTTTTTAAAACACCCAAACCTCAACTTAAAGAGGGGAAAAACCCAAAATATCAGCAGACATTTTGAGTGGGGGGGCAGGGAAGCCAAGAGAGGCTCAGCTACTACCAGGGAAGACAGCAAAAAGTGGGAGGAGGTAGAGAGCACACTCAACGGGGAAGCTAAAAAAGGCACTGACACCACCATAAGGCAGGCCAGTGAGTGGAACAGCAGTAGAGAGACTGAGAGAGGCACTGCCAACAGGCAAGCAAAGGAGGCTGAGAAAGGTGCTGCTCAGGCAGGCTGAGCCCAACAGACAGAGGCAGTGGGGGGGGGTGTCACAGCAATGGAAGGGGGGCAGCGGCAGGAAGAACTAAAAGCACCACCACCAGGAAAGCAATGCGGGGAGGAGGATGGTATTTCCCCTCCTTGTGACCTCACTGGTCTCTGCTGGTATTATGATAAATCTAGTACATGCTTGACTTCCATTTCTACTTTTCCCTTGAAGCCCTTAAAAATCACAACCCCCAGCTACTTGTTTCTGAAAGGCAGATAAACTTAAAACAATTATTCAAATATATAACTGGATGTTATGGGGGGAAATCCACTACTTTTAAAAATTTGTAACTGACTGGCAGGAGACAACCATTCCCATAAGAAATTTTACAAAGTTGGTACTTACAGCGTTGGAATCAACATCACTGTGTATAGCGACTGTTTTAATACCCATCTTCTTGCAGGTTCTAATTACCTAGTAATTAGGGAAGTGGGGGAAAAAGATGGGTTTTAAACAAAATCATAGATGTGATAATATTGAAGAGCGGGGGTCATTTCCTGCAGGAGCGCACAGGAGCAGAGCTCTGGCAGTAAAGAGCTTAGGGGGCGGGCACATGCAACAAGCCCTACCCCCTGCTCCCAGCAGCCCCAGGCCATGAGGAGCAAGAAGCCTCTTTCTTTCCCTCTTTCCTCCTTCCTTCTTTCTTTCTTCACTGATCTGTGCGTCCCGTCCCCCCCATAGCTAGCAATCCAAAACAGTCCAGTGGCACCTTTAAGACCAAGTTTTATTCAGGTACAAGCTGGATCTGCACGTCCACCCCCCCATAGCTAGCAATCCAAAACAGTCCAGTGGAGCCTGAGTGGTGGGTGTTGCCTTCTGACACACTTCCAGTGGTGTCAGGGGGTGTGGCATATGCAAATAAGTTATGCTAATGAGTTATGCTAATGAGCTCCTGCACCTCTTTTTCTACAAAATGCCCCCTATTGAAAAGACATTGTTTTGCAAGTCATACTTACTCTGCAGGCAATTTCTCCTCTGTTGGCAATAAGTAGTTTTTCAAACGTCTGAAAGAAGGAAAGGGAGGGGGGAAGATGACTTCAATAATTATAATACAAAACATATACACATAGATTTAACCTATGGAGTTTGGAGTTTCTAAATATATTAAAATGGCTTCTTAAACCTGAGTTCACCCTCCCACACACAGACTGCCAGTGGCCACATAATGATGCATCTCTTAACCATCTGGAATACAGAACTATGGACCCTCTCTGGCCATCACACCAATATTTACTACTAACTTGGATCCCACCTAAGATTTCTAACCAGCTTCAAACCCATGGATGAAGACAGCCTCATAGATCACACCAACCGTCCACCAAATACTTTGGGGGAAAGCACTGCACAGGTGTTACTTACTATAACAGTGCTGTCTGGGGCTGCTTCAAACTTCAATGTGATGAACAATTAGTGATTAGCAGTTACACTCAGAGCATTTTGGAGCACAGGAAAAAAAGAACACTGAAATACATAGATCTCCAACATAACACATAGATCTCCAACATAACATTAGACAAATACATTATGCAAATACATAGATCTCCAACATAACATTAATTTAAAGTTAGATACCAGTTCTTACGGATTGATGTATCAAAGAAGTTAGCAGGATCACTTCCCAAGGTCTTGCATACCTCCGTAAAGATGACACTATACCAGAAACTAAACATACAACTAGCCTTGCACTGAATCACCAGCTGCTAACACTTGGCTGAACATCCCGGACTCCAACATTGCACAATAGTGCAGAGAGCAAGAAAGGGGCAGCCCAAGTGTTTGCCATCTTAAAAGGTACAGTTTGGCCACTGTTACCCATGCACTGATTATATCCAGGCTGCATCACTGCAATAAACTAATACCTACAGTTGCCGTCAGAAATTTCAACTGGTTCATCAAAGTGTAGGAAGGATGACACTGGCAGGAATAAGCTATAGGTATGATATTTTACCAGTTTTAAGTGATCTCTACCAGCTGCTGGTTTACTTCTGGACACAATAAAAATGATGAGTACCCATGAAGTCTGGAATGAAGGTATCTTCTTCAAAATGAACCTTCTTACTACTTAAGACTGCTGTTTTCCCCCACTAGGAGACCCATGTTGAGTAGACACTACAGAAAGGCCTTCTCAATTGTTACATTTTGATAGGAGGAGGAGGAGATTGGATTTATACCACACCCTTCACTCGGGAGTCTCAGAGCGGCTTACAAACTCCTTTCCCTTCCCCTCCCCACAACAGACACCCTGTGAGGTAGGCGGTACCCCGGGAAGCTTGTCTAGTGCCAAATCTGCAGCCCTTTAGACATGAAGCAAAGATGTTTTATTTTCCCAAACCTTGCTCTGTCTATCTATGTGTTTTATCCAAGGTCTCTTAACCCCTTTGACTCAGTCCATGGGATCTGATCCAAGGTCTCTGTGACAGACCCTTACTATCAAATGAGGGGACTCACACAGCCTCCTACTGTTTTTTGGGGAAAAGGTTTATTTTAAACCATAAACCTTCCCCTCAGTTACCAGGTGTTCTAAAGGTAGTAAATGTATAGGCTTAGGGTTCACTGCCATGAGGTACATTTTCTGGTGAGCAAATAGAACAGGGGTCCTCAAACTACGGCCCGTGGGCCACATGCGGCCCACCGAAAACATTTATCCGGCCCGCTAGGTGTTTTTGCCGCCGCCGCCTGTCCTGCTTAGCAGCCAACTCGTCCTGGGCCCGCAGTGCGCATGTGTGGAATGTGCACCGCACTCAGGGCCCAAGTCAATCAGGGCCCAAGTCAATCAGCACATGATGTGGTCCTCTTCTCAGTTCCGCACCGCGTGGCTTTGTGGGGGGGCGGGATGGTCAGCTAGTTCCGCGCCCCCGGCCCCCACCCCCGGCCCTCCAATGGTCTGAGGGACAGTGAACTGGCCCCCTGATGAGAAACTTTGACGGGTGAGCAAATAGAATATAGAGATCACTGAAGCAGGAATTGTGTATAAACACAGAAGACTGATTTATTTACAGGTTGTGTTCAAGGAACAGATCAGCAGCGTAGGTCTCCGGGTAGGCAAAGGTGAAACCTGGCTGAGACACATACATTTAAATTAGTTATGGCTTCAGAGAGTAGTCTGAATTTTCTCTAATGCTTTCGGGTACAAACAGCCTTTTACTGACTCCTCACTAGGCTGAATCCTCTCACACTCACAGGATCCCACCCACACCAGCCTGCCCTCTCCCAAGAGTCAGACTAAATGGCACAAGGTCTGCTCCTTGCCAGAGACAGGCCTAACAACTGGGGACTTTATTCTCTGTCAGAAGTAGAGTCAAACCACTCTGCCACATTACCAAGCAAAGCTACCCTTTTTCTGAGTCAGAAGAGAGCTCTCACTGCTCTCTCCCTGAGACAGAACCCAACTAAACTATCTCCTCCGGTGCTTCCCTCGAATATTCCATTCCTCTTCTGAAAAGTGACTGGATGCTGGAGCAGCACTCCCATGGGCTCAAGTGCGTGGCTGTTTTCCCCTTCAGGGGCGGGGCAGACTCCTGTCCATCACAGTCTTCTACATATTTTTATCCTTTGGTTGCAGGAGATTTTTTTGAAGATATTAAAACCATTGTAAAATCTTACTGCTTTTTAAGAACATTGCTCTTAAAGATGGGTTTTTAATTAACTGCTGGTGTGGCTGATGGTTTTATTTTGACAGAGGTGTTTTTGTGTTTGGTGCCTTGTTAAGTATCAGTTGCTTTAATACTGTAAGGCACCTCAGACATTTTTTTATCGAAAGTTAAGGATATAAGTGTTTGTATCAAATATACAATTTAAAAGCCTCAAAGGCCAGGTTCTGGCTGAAAATTTGGGTCTGATTAAAAAAAAAACATTTGAAAGCTATGAAGTTTTTTCAGCAGCGCTGCCAGAACTACTGTAGCTTTTTATTGGGTGTGTGTGTGTGTGTGTAAAGAAATACAAAATGAAACTTCTAGGGAATATCACAAAATCTTAGCTAATAAAATTAATTAATACCGGCACAAGGGCCCAGAGAACACATCCGAAACAACAAATTAGAAAAAATATCAGTGTAACTTAGAGAAGTAACCATTCATGGTTTTGCAGAAAAGGTGGGCTTTGAGGAGTGACTGCCAATGCCTTAATATTTTTCTGTTGCAATGCAGAGGTCACAATCTTTAGTAACCTTGTTTCCTAAAAGTTTTACATGTTAGTTGTCTGGATTAAGGATTTCGCAATTTTCCTCTAAGGTGTCTGACAATGCTTTTTAAAAAGCTGGCTGTTAATTGGATCTAGGTAGCTTTTCCATTCAGTCTCACTGAATTCATTCCCTTCCTACAGCCTCAGTACCACATGACTTTTGTCCACACAGGTCCACTAATGTCCAGCATCATATTTTTGGGTAGTCAAAGCAGACTCCTCCACTTATTTTCTCCAAAAGAGAAGCTGGTTGAATCCAACACAATTATAGGAAAGTCTGAATTTTGAATGTTGAATCCAAGCTCTGCCTGCAAGCCACAAAGAAGCCTTCCACCCTCTGTATGCTCACGCACAATTCGCATCCAATTGTTTGTCCTGGCTTTTCTTTGAAAGTCTTCAACTTGTATGCTCAGATTAGTTAATAAATGCTCCAATTTTATCCATCACTTTTGCTTGATGTTCTTGTACATTCTTTGATATCTTATAATAGCTACCCAAGTATGACACGTGCCCCCTTTATACTGACAGTACCGAGAGGGTCTATGTGTTGTGCCTGGTCAGAGCTGCTAATTTTTTCTGACCAGTCCTCTATACAAATCTATAATAGTCTCTTCGGGGTATTCTAATTTATTTCTTTCTGGTCAGGGATATAAGGACCACTGCTTAGTGTATTTGCTTTACCATTAAATAGATAAGCACCACGGCTTGTTAACTTTAAAGCTGAACAGGCTTTATTTACAAACAACACAACTGGGGGATGGGATATAGTTACACAGGATGTTCTGATACTTTGTTGAATAAACAAATCACTTTGCCTTGGTTTAGACTGTCTGCTTTTCACTCAGACCAGTACCTAGATGTTCCTTAGTTCACAACACACACCTCAGATCTCACTCTCCAGTCATTCCTTTAGTGGTTAACTTTTGGCTTCATTTGTCTGGCCCCTTTGAGTCTAACTGGTCAACTAACCAGCCCTCCAGACTCCTCTCTCCAGACACTCTAGCCTTCGCTCAGCCACGTTATAATTCCCTGTGGAGCAGTGTTTTTGGTGTCTGTGACCACTCAAGTCTTATACTTTTACTCTCCTCGGTATATTAGAGGAATCAGTGCAGAGTGCTCTTCAGCCACAGTTATTTACACAAACTGTTTCCTCAGAACTCTGTTAGCCCACCGCGCTCTCCTAACTCCTCTGATCAATTGACTAACGGTTTCTCTCCAACTACCTGCCAGATCCAAACTGCCAATTCCAAACTCACTGTTTGGTCTGTTAAATGTCAATCACCAAGGGTTCGAGCTAAATGGCCCCCTCCTCACTTAGTCATGTGACTCAGCAGTGATCTGTGTTTTCACTCTGCTGGTCCCAGATCTTTAAGTCCATCACACCAAGTTTCTTTCAAAACATCCAGTTTCCAACATCTCAATTTTTATCAGTATTGCATTCCACCTTCCAATTTGAACCAAACATTTTTTAATCCTTCCAAATAACTGCTAATGTAGTATCTCCACCGTTTCTATATTTCGAAGCAGATGCAAAAATCAGACTAAGCTGTCACTTTAGAAGAAGAGTTGGTTTTTATACCCTGCTTTTCTCTACCCAAAGGAGACTCAAAGCAGCTTACAATCTCCTTCCCTTCCTCTCCCCACAGGCACCCTGTGAGGTAGCTGGGGCTGAGAGAGCTCTAAAGGAACTGTGACTGACCCAAGGTCACTCAGCTGGCTTTATATGGAGGAGTGAGGAAATCAAACCCAGTTCTTCAGATTAGAGTCCGTTCCTCTTAACCACTACACCACACTTTGACAGATGTACAAATCAACCTAACAGAAAAGTTGGGTTTTAGATTTCTCTGATTCTCTGTTACTGGTTTAAATTATCAAGTTTAACTTTTAACAGCTCACGATTATCATTCATCTACAACTAACTACCAGGATTCAATCCAAAACAGAAAATATCAATTCACATCATGTACATCAAGCAGAGTGCAAACAGGATTTTATAAGCACATAAGAGAGTTACAAGAAAGTACCCTGTTGCTATTATAAGCAAGTCAGTTAATAAAAAATATATAGAGGGAAAAAATACATACAAAAATATAATATAATATAATATAATATAATATAATATAATATAATATA